ACGAGGTGACGATGCCCGGCCCGACGGGGTGTCGATGCCTGACGTGGTCAGAAGACCGTTGGCCTGATGCGTTTTACGCGGGCGCGGTAGAAGGAAAGTGTGTGTAGGATTCCGTCCTGAGGTGTGTACGTTTACGCGGGACGATGCCGTCCCTGACGAGGTGACGATGCCCGGCCCGACGGGGTGACGATGCCTGACGAGGTCAGAAGACCGTTGGCCTGATGCGTTTTACGCGGGCGCGGTAGTGGTGGAAAGGTTGAGAATGAGTGGGATTTGGCAAGACAAGCGAGAGGATTATGGAAAGTGACGCATGGTGTGAGTAGCGTGCGAGTGTGTTTGTATCGCGTGATGTGATGCTTAATTATGGGGTAGAAACTGCTAGACACGGTATGGGACGTGCCCAAGTGGTTTCTGTCTTATAATTAAGACATGCGCGCGTCTGTGATTCCTTGCTGTGATGTGTTGGCTGTGTTATTGTCTAACGTGCAGGAACGTGCGTGATGGATTCCAGGTAGGGTCGCATGTGATTGTTAGTTTGGCCGATCGTTGTGTGTTATGTGTGTTTTTCGTCTGGCGGTACGTGAGTGCCTACGTGGGGTTTGGGGTTGTACACTTATTGAGATTCGTCTCACGGTTGTATAACCGCCACTTTCAGACCCCCGGCCCTAAACCCGGGAAGTGCGCCTTTTCTTTTTGGAAGTCCGGGGAGCTGCTGTTGGTGCCCGGTGGAGTTGCGGGTGAGTGTCGGAGGCTCGGACCGAAGATTCGACGCGACGGACGAGGCAATCCTTAGGTTTTTCCTTAAGGTTTTTGGGGTTGTATAAATCGGGTTGACCCATAGGGAAGTTAAGTTAACCAGACCCTGATATTTTGTTGACGGTGATTTCGGATGCTAGTTTGTTAATTATGCCTGTAATATGATGTTTGTATATTTGGTGTTGTATGAATATGTGGTTGCTGGATTGTTCTGTTGTTCTACCCCGTTGTCGTCATTATTTGTCCGGAGTTTTGTTATTCGCTTCCGCATGTGGCTCTGATGTTTGGGTTGGGTCGGCGACGTTCCTGGGACGTCGCATCATTTCGACCGGAGCGGGATGTCGCGAGCTCGATGGGGTTCGGGGCGTGACAGATGGTCTCCGGACAATGACTGACCTAGCAAGCTGAATCTCTCAAATTTAGATCCTAGACATATTTGTTTCAGTTGTCCTCCACCTTCTTAAATTGAGTGTACTTTTTCTGTTTGGGTTAATACCACGAAAAATCCTAAACTGGTATGCATATGATAAATTTATCCTAAATTAATTTTTTAATCACCAAAAACCCCAAACTTGTACACCTGTGACAAAATGCAAACAAGATTGCACTTTCGTGACAAGTTTTAGGATTTGATTACATTTTTCGAAAGTTTTATAACTCAGCTATACTTTCATGATGTATTTTAGGACTTTCAGTATACTTACCCCTTTAATTTTTATAATATTCGTCAAACATAACATGAGAAAAGTCGCAAATTGATGAATTGACTGTACAATTTATTTCCACAGTTGCTTAACCAGTGCCTAAGTATTTGTTTGAAATTGATAAAGTAATACTTTTTCTTAATTTACATTTTTACTTTTATATTCATTCATCTTCAAAATATTTGAAAAAATAGTGTTTCCAACGCTACTTTACTATCCGGTCCGGTTTTGGACAGTTCCCAATTCTTTGCACACCTCTAGGTCCAATTAAAATGTTAAGAGCTGAATTAATACCAATGCAATAAGTTTATGACTTTTTTGGTACTTTGCCCGATTTTATTATCAGCCATCACTCAGCTAGAAATTAATTTCCCTTTTGGAACATCAACACTGAATCAATTGTTGAGTCCAAGAGACAAGACGACGAGATGGTTGAGGATTACAAGCACAATGAAATAACATGAAGATGAAGAATTGAACCAGACACTGGGATATGTGTGTGATGCTTCATTACTACACGACAGCACACGGTCCCCTGCCAGTGAGGCATGTGCCATTGCTTCGGCAGACGATAGGTTCTAGGGTGGCTGGAACATACCCTCTTAGAACTAATTCTCAGTTTTTGGAACCTGAAACTTATTATGTTTGTCTGGTCCAGTTCTAGTGTTTATCCAAGAACCCTTTTTTTGTTTGCTTCATTTAAAAAAGATACCGGTTACAACAAAACGACTCAATGTGAAATATTGATACAAAACAAACAGAAATATAAAGCAATATGAAAGTTCAGCTCATTTAAGAAAGATAAATTTTCTTCTTCCAACTTCATTAATCAGGTTATAACCGGTTCTAGGTGGCTGTGTGGTGAGGTTCAGCACCCAAAACCTGAAACCTACCTTCACAATACCGGTTCTAGAAATTTGGAACTGGGGAGGGGACCTAATTCCATTGAAATTCAGAACCGAACTTGTTTCTACGGGCGATTCGGTCCGATTTCCGGGTAGAACTAGACCAGTTGTGTGAGAAACGTGCCCAATCTTTTTGCTAAAGCCCAACCTCTCAATCATCTGCCTTGCCACCCGAGAAACTTGCATAAAGTCATTAGAAGCTGCTACTGTAACATTCTCGGCTCCAAATCTCACCTCCTCAGCAACCCTGCACAATAGAATTGCGAATCAATCATCAAAATTGGCGGCTTCAGCAAAGGGAGACCAGTTTGCTCAGTCACCAGTAAGGCCGTCAAATGGTCTAATCGCCACATATTTCCTCACATCACCAAAGCACACCGCAAATCTTCACTAACTGCAATTTAATATCTCTTCAAGCGGTAAGAGTCTTAAGCAGGCTCATTCACTTGTAGGTCAATCATAAGATCAGGTATTTAGAGCTAACCTTCAACCGAGCACAACGGCCATCTGATTCTCGAGGTAGCTTCTACTGTATAGCCCAGACTCGAGTCTCTCTTCACTTGGAGCAGAAAAGGGGAGACCTCCGGCTTGGCCGCGGGGGACGATGGACATCTTGGCTGCCGGGTCATATTCAGGCATCACCGCACCAACTAAAGCATGCCCAGCCTCTGCAAATTTGTCAACATACAGTCAGCAGCCATAACCACATTGTAGCGAAGGTATAAAACTGGTAAAAGAAAAGAGTTAATATTACGAAAAATCCTAAGTTGATACACTTACGATAAATTTATCATAAATAAATTTTTTTATCACAAAAAACTCTAAATTGGTACAACTGTGATAAATTTACCCCAAACTAGTTTTTTTACCACAAAAAATCCCAAATTGGTACACTTGTGACAAATTTATCCTCTGTCAGTTTCCGTTAAACTGGATTAATACCACGAAAAATCACAAACTGGTACGCATGTAACAAAAGGAGTGTAAAACGCCAAACCAGTAAACCCGTCAACTGTCACATGTCATCCATCTCAATAACTTAACGGTAAAATTTAACGAAAATTAACAGAGGTAAATTTGTCACATGTGTACCAGTTCGGGGTTTTTAGTAGTAAAAAATTATTTTTGGTAAATTTATTACAGGTGTGCCAGTTTGGAGTTTTTCGTAGTATTAACCAACTTCTTTTCACCTGAGACAACATCATTTTCCTTCTCTGGTCCGGCCATGATTCCCTCTGGTGCATCGGATATCTCATGTTTGCTGATTTCTTTGAGGTCACGCCTAGCTGCAAGAATGGCTGCTTCATTCATCAGATTCTGCAAATCAGCCCCAGTGAAACCCGGAGTTCTCCTCGCGATCTTTTCAGAGTCGACCTTCTGTGATTTGGACAGGGTTGGGCCAGTGGCTTCTCTTTGAGGGTATGATCTTTCCCTATTAGCCCACCCAACCTCAAATTTGTATACCTATTTTGAAGAATTCTCATATGTGATCTTTTGGCACAATTTCGGGCTAAGCCCGCCATCGTCGTCGATGAGGTGAATTGATTGAAGTGAGAGAAGAGGGCGGTTGCTTAGGTTTTGAATTCTTTTTTCCCCTTTTTTTGTGTTATTAGTCAAAAATGCGCAAGTCACGACTATTCACTACCCTAATCGAAGAAAACAAAATCATATCACTTTGCAATAGTCGGTAACCGTCATAAAATATTTTTATTTTATCATAAATCAATAATATACACGATTACGACGGACTGCAATCCCCGATAATATCATACATGACCCTACTTTTATTGATCTCTTGGAGAGCAAGGCGCTTAAGAGGACCCCACTTAGGAAGAATGGTGGATTATTGAACTCTTGGAAAGCAAGGCATAAGACAAAAGTGCACAAATTTCTGTCACCTTATCGTTTTTGTCCAAGGAGAGTCAACTTCAAAGCAATTGGTATGACCAGACCCTTGTTTATGGCTTGATGCCCAAGGAAATAAGAAAATTAAAGATATCTACATACCAAATTACGCCGTCCACGAATTTTTATTATTAAAAGAGCTCTTTTGTGAGGACCTCAGAATCAATGTTTCCATATTGCAATGTGCCGTTGTATTAGCAGCCGCACTATATATGTCAACCACTAAATAGATTATCAATAAGTATCACAGGCTGATAAGTACTAGGAGTAAAAGACAAACTTTGGAGGGTTTGGCAGCCACACGTTCTTATTTTAGTAAATGAAGTTGATTAGAAAAAATCTTCAATAAACACACCGGCACATCAAAGAGTAATTCATTCAAGATATTGTCCATTTTAGCCCGTTCCATTCAATAGGCATTTTCTTAGGAGGTTGTCCATCTTGGTAGTAAGAACAATTATGCTAAACGATACTTCTAAAAAGCACCTCTTATGAGTTAATTCCAGTATGATATATGTAAAGGAACGCTTCCCTCATTTGATATGCAACACGGTTCATTTATATTCCCTTCAGCATTCTAGAAACCTGCCAAGGGCCACCTTTATTTGGGGGTTGCTGCCCCGGCGGTCAAGTCCTCACACCCAAAAAAACATGTGGAAAGACATAACTAAACTATCATTTCATGCTTCCCACACCTATAAATTTGTTAGACTTGGTGCTCATTTCCTCCAAGCTCTGAAGAAGAGTGTAGAAATTGAGTGAGGGCAAAAATGCAGAATTACGTTTTGAGCACTCTCGCGCTCTCTTTGGCTTCTTTGTTCATGTATTGTGTGGGGAGAGGATACTATGTTTATTGGCATAGACCCAAGACCCTCGAGAAGTACTTGCGAAAGCAAGGCCTCGAAGGCACTTCTTACAGTCCCTCCCATGATGACCTGAAGCAGATGGCGAAGTCCCCTGAAGAAGCCCGGCCTGAGCCAGCAAGTCTTGATCATCGGATAGTGCAGCGCGTGAGGCCGTTACTTCAGCAAATGATCCACAAGTATGGTAAGCAAAATAGAGGCGAAACTGCACCTTTGCATTGTCTACTTTTCGCCTGATAAAAGCGAATCATGATGTACAGAGTCTTGTCCAAGAGCATGGTTCTGTGATTGAATTTGTATAAACCTTTGCGTATATTTTTGGACACTGAGCACGGTTTTATGTTTTCTGAAGTTCTAAAACATGGAAATTAAGCAGGTAAAGTATGTTTGAGTTGGATTGAAACAAGGCCAAGGCTGATAGTAGCAGACCCAGAGCTCATCAAGGTGGTGCTAGCAGACAAGAATGGCCACTTTGTGAAGCCACCTTCCAACCCTCTAATTGATCTCCTACAGCTTGGTGTGTCCACTTTGGAAGGAGAAAAATGGGCCAAACGTAGGAAATTGATCATACCAGCTTTCCACTTTGAGAAGTTGAAGGTATTTTCATATTTTTGCACGTATCTTCCATGACCCAGTTCCTAAAATTTACTGTTATTCAGAATTTTTCTGCCCATGTTGTGAAAGATGCAAAAAGATTTTGTACATAAATTAGTTAGCAATTGAGTGATCAGTAGCTAGGCACAACATGTTAGAATCAAATAGCAATATAGTTCACTAATAAGTTTTCATTTGCCAGGGGATGATACCTGCTTTTTCCATGAGCTGTTGCGCCCTTATGGATCGACTCAAGGAGTTGACCGACTCTCGAGGATCGTTCGAAGTTGACGTTGCGACCGAACTGCAAAACCTCACAGCTGACGTTATCTCCCGATCTGCCTTCGGGAGCAGCTATGAAGAAGGCAAGAAGATATTTGAGCTTCAGAAGGAACAAGCTGTCCTGGTTCTTGAAGCTTATTTTAGCCTATACTTGCCTGGTTTCAGGTGCATTAATAGGATTTCCCCTATTTGGATCCAATTTGTCCGATGCCATACATATTACCTAATTCATACAAGAGTTTTGTGCAGCCAATGGTATATGTTAATTTAATTTTGAGCTTCTTCTCGCTCGCCATTTTACGCAGCTTGCTACCAACTAAGAAGAACAAGAGAAGATACTATCTGGACCAACAGATTAAGTCGATGATACGCAAGATAATCAGACGGAAAGAGAAGGCGATGCAAAATGGAGAATCATGTACCGGTGATTTACTCAGCTTGCTACTACAATGCAGAGGAGCCGACAGTGACATGACAATCGAAGATGTCGTAGAGGAATGCAAATTGATCTACTTCGCAGGCCAAGAGACAACTGCTAACTGGCTCACTTGGACAATGGTCGTCTTATCGATGCACCCGGAGTGGCAAGAGAAAGCAAGAGAGGAGGTGTTGAAGGTTTGTGGGGGCCGGATTCCCGATATCGATGAGATTAATCGCCTAAAAATTGTAAGGTTTTTTTCATTCTATCTCTCAATTGCTAGTCGCATTTACTAAGCTCCTATTAAGGATCACTCAAAAAGATGCATAGTAAATTTTCACTATGGGAAATTTTCCCAGTAATTGTGTAGTTTATGCAGGTCAGTAGTACTGGCTTAAGTGATTCTTTCGCAGGTATCGATGATATTACATGAAGTCATGAGACTATATCCACCCGTGACCGCCCTTTACCGACACACTTGTAAAAATACTACTTTAGGAGGAATGTCGATCCCAGCCGGGGTGGACATCCTACTTCCAACCCTGCTGCTTCATTTCGATCCCAAGCTTTGGGGCGATGATGCAGATGAATTTAGACCAGAAAGATTCGCCAACGGCATTTCAAATGCTTCGAAGCATCAGTTGGCATTCTATCCATTCGGATGGGGACCCAGAATATGCCTAGGCCAAAACTTCTCGACAATCGAAGCGAAGATGGCCCTAGCAATGATATTGCAGAACTTTCAGTTTCAGCTCTCTCCTGCTTATGTCCACGCCCCGTATACCGTCATCACTCTCCAACCACAGCATGGAGCTCCAATGATACTGCGCCGGGTTCAACCTTTTAGGTCATTGTGAAAGTAAATCAATAAGCTATGTCAAGATTAGTCCTTTCATGTCCCGAGATTTGAGTCTTTTGAAGCTCAAATCCTTCTTGTTTGTGTCCTGCCCGAAAGTAAATACTTAGTGCAGAAATAAAGAATCTTGGCTCTACCGATTCAGCTTGCCTCTGGTACACAATTAAATTTTCAGACAGGGCTATATGGTAACAGAAGAAAAGTCCTTCACTGGGGTAAATGGATCAAATCAAGCTAAGGCACAATGTGTAGCAGTTCTCTTCTGTATACAGATTACCTCTTTGGCATTATAACTCATCATGCAATCTCATATACAAGATTTATGTAAAAGGGAACATATGCTTTATCAGTTTGTCGGCTACAAGCTCAAAGGGGAAACACAAGTCATCGTGGTCCGGAACAATCTGTCACATAATTTTTGTCTAGTATGTGAATTCTGCTTTTACTCTCTGCTTGTCTTGTTAGGTCCATGTGACAATGGCGATGAAATCTCGTGCCTATGAGACACCAAAGGGTCAGATTGTTTCTGTTGTGCAGAGACATTTGATTGAGCTAAAACACCAAGTGACATGCAAAGAAAAGAAAAGTTGCAGATAACGCAAATAAGGTCATTGTTTGCTGAATGAAAACTCATCCATATAGCTGCTGTCCCCACCCGTGCCTGTGCTGCTGGGATATGAAAAGAACAAAAACTCATCCATATGTACGCAGACATAATCAAGATTTGTAGTTTACTAATTTGAATACCCACAAATCAAGATTCTTTCTTTTACCCCTTTTACTGTATCATTTCTGAATCTGTATCTTTCTTTTACCCCTTTTATTTAGTGTCCTTTCCCAATTTGATGATTGCTTTATGCATCTTCACGACGTCTTTTGAGGGAGATTTTTGTCTCTGTTCGTGGATGGAACCGGACGGCCGCACAAACTTTGGCCAAAATCTACACAAGACTCTGCTAAATTGGTTTTAGGTGATGACAAGTTAATTGTCCGTTTTTGATAATTGGGACCAAAATATTGATGAAGTATTGTAGTTTTTTTTTCTTCTCTATTATCCCCGTTGCCGAAGCAAGACTCGCTGGTTTACGCCAAACCTGGACCAGCCCGTCGGACTCGTGCGAGGTTTACTTGACTTGATAGTTTCAGTCGAAATCGACATGAACTAGTGCATGGGTAAGATCATAATATCATGTCCATCATGGAAACTCTAGGCAATTGATAAAATAGCACATGGTTCTTGACTTGGTTAAAGATTGACACTTCAGCATAAACTAATGTTGGTTCAGATTACAATTGAGCTAATTTTTTAGAGAACACCCTCGCACATCCAACAAAGAACGCTAATATTGATTGACACATTTTATTGATACTTTTTTGAGTCTTCAGAGGAATTAACATATGCAAAAATAATACGATGTCATGTTCTAGAGCAGCCTGATTATGTCATTTTTTTCCTTTTATTTTCAAAAATTCCTGCCAAAATATGAGAAACGATCAAACCTTAGACTTGTTGAACACCACGGATATGTTTTGAGTAAATATCCAAGATTTGCCAAGGAGTATCAGCAAAAAATTGACATTCTTGGCAATTTCCCCATAAATTACTGCATATTCTATAATTCCCTGCCTGGAATATACTATTCCATTATGGGTTGGTAGAATCTAAATGCCGGACTTCCCCATCATTGCTTATCATAAATCAGGAAAAGAAGAAAATCTCCTGATTAAGTAAATGAAAACCAACTCTCGTCCATTTCCAAGAATCTGCTCATCCACTCCAAGTTCAAAGGACCCTCATTCAAGCTATCAAGGAATTCATCCCTAGAGAAGTCGGTTTTCATCTCTTTGTCTCTCTTTGATGTCTCTCCATCGTTGCCCACCATGCTATGCATCGCCGCCGCACTATTTGTCTGGTCCTGGGACTGATCTTGCACGGGGGATTTGCTTTGGTTCTCCTTCTGCTTTATCTTTTTGCTCAAATGAGAGTTCCAGTAGTTCTTGATCTCATTATCGGTCCGACCCGGTAGCCTTCCAGCTATTAAGGACCACCTGAAATAGTTTTCAAAAGAAAGAAAACAAATTGAACTCAAACAGTCGTTGAATTCCAGCCGGAGGCTTATCAGTTGCAAGAAGCAGTGATTCTGGTGGGAAAGTTCACCTGTTTCCTAGGAGTTTGTGAAGCCTGAGAATCAAGTCCTCTTCTTGGTCTGAGATATTGCCTCTCTTGATATTGGGTCTCAGATAATTCAGCCATCTTAGTCTGCAACTCTTCCCACATCTATTGAGGCCTACACCAAAAACAGAAAAAATTCAATTCAAATTCACATGGATCCAAATTACCTCAAAAAGAAAAGTTTTTTGAGTGACTCTGAATGTAATGGGACATTGCATCTAGCCTTGTGACAAATATATACCTGCTTTAGCTGCAACTAGCTTCCACCTCCTAGGACCATTGGTTTCTATTACTTGAGCTAGCTTTTGGTCTTCTTCTGAAGTCCATGCTCCTCTGTTAGCTTCTCTCTTTGAGTACTGACTTCTTGTTGGTGTCATTGGCATGCTTAGTGTGCACAAGCAACCCCCAACTCAAGCACTGAAAATGAGGCCTTGTGTTTTGTGTCTCTGAGAGAGATAGAGAGAGATTTAGGTTAAGTGGTAGAAGAAGAATTGATGGGGTGTGTTTGTGGGTGCATTGCAAGGTGGAGAGAAAAGGGGTCCCCTGTATCTATCTATCCAGCTACCTTTCTTTGGGGACTCCAACTAACCAATTATAGATGAGTTTGGGGGAGAGTGTGTGAGGGTTCTGAGCAAGTGATTTTCTCATTTTTCTTTTTCTTTCTCTGTGGTTTATGATTTGAGAAAAAGGAAGAAAACAAGGGAGATAGAATCTTGTGCAGACTTGGTCCTCTTTGCTGGAGCTCACATTCTTATTTTTTTTTATTTTTTTTTGTCTTTTAACTGTATGAGGTTTGCTGCATTATGTAGGTTTCATGTGGGGTTTGGCACCCAAATGGGATGGGAGAGAATGTAATAAAATGCGACAAAGAATTGGAAGAGCTAGTCATTCTTGTATGACCGGGCAGGCAAACGTAAAATGCTCCTACATTTCCTTCGAATACTTAATTAATGGGCTGAAATGGGCAAAAATTACCCGATCAATCTTAAACATATTGTGCAGATACCAATTAAGTTCTAAACTTTTCAATTTTACCAATTTAGTCGTAAACCTATGCGTGAAATTCCAATATAGTCCTTTCGGTCTATTTTCTCCGGAAATCGTTGATGGTCTAGTCATTGTCGGCCGTTCTACGTGACACCCCGTCACGTCAACAATTTCCAGTGGACCGAAAGGACTATATTGAAATTTCGTATAAAAGTTTAAGACTAAATTGGCAAAATTGAAAAGTTTATGATTGAATTGACATCTAAACAGTAAGTTGAAGACTAAATGGACGATTTCTCCAGCTGAAATGGGATTGAAATCAAAGTGTCATTTTCCTTTGCCCCAATATGCACAAGACTAAACAAAATGGTCGCATTGAGACATATTATGTTTAAGCCTTATGTCACGGACCTAAGGTTTCAAGGCCCAATGGATTGACACTGTGGCCAGGATGATCGAGCGAGCCTAGAAGCTTCTATGTAATATGGAATATGTACACATGTATTCTAGAGGATTCTTGTACTTAATGCGGGTTATTGGTAGAGGGGAAGATGCAATCTCCACTATTAGATAAGAGGAAATCTATAGTTGTAATTAGAGAGAATCTTGTATAAATTAAGGTCCCACCCCCTCATTTGAATCATCCACTTCATTTAAGCAATACAAGAGTTTCTCTCTCTAAACTCTCTCTAGATTTCGTGTTTTTTGTAAGTAAGGCTAACTCGAATAGGTAAGGGAACACTAAATCAACCATCTCGTGACATTTACATAGAACGAGAAAACAGAGCAAAAATTCACACTTATATCGCGATTAAACAGTGCTAAACTAGCTTTTGTCACGATGATGAAAGCACTTAACGCATATTCAACCGCTACAACATTTCTCTTCAAGGTTTACACTATTTACCCAATTTCTTTCGAACATATTCTATTGCATCGAGAATTAATGAAATCCACATTAGGTTCTAGTAAAACCACATGATGCGATATATTTTTTCGACTGTGTTAATAGATTCTCTTAATCACAATTCTTAGGCAACACCATTCATCCGTACATGACCTTTCACCGGTAAGCAAAATCCAAAGGAGCAATCCAAAGATCAGGTGGCATGAGCGCACGTGATGTGCCCCCATTGTTCAGCAGCACAGATAGGACCCACCCAAGTGCCATGATGAGATCGATAAGCCGAGGGCAGCGCAGCGCAATGCGAAGGACAACGAGAGAGTCAAATTACAGATCAAAATAAGAGTCAAATTCGTCATCAAATCCTATGAAACTTGAATGATTCATGCACAAGAGGGCATAACATAGAGTACGGCGAAAGAGGAGGGACTTGGGTGATTGTTGATGATGATGTCTTTCTTACATATAATATTCTCTTACAAAAAGTAATGCGTACGCAGATTTCCATGTGGGTATGAATATAAATTCAACACATGAACATCATTCCTGTGTCACGGAACCGTGCCTTTATCCCGTGTCCTTGTCCATCGCCTAGGAGTGCACAAATTGCGCGGGGGGCTTCATAATTATTGTTCTTTTTTGTTGCTTTTTGCTTGGTGGGTCACTGAAACCCACTTGGGTCTTCTGCCACCGGCAGGGGGATTGGGGACCAGATCCTGATCTTGGCGCACAGATCGACGGACGTTGAAGGAATTCAATTGAACTAAAACAATTAATTAATGTGAACAAAAAGAAAGGCATCGAGTACAAAGATTACAATGAGATTTCTTCGCTTAGGTTGCTCTTGGGGTTTAGATGTTCACGAGGATGAGGTTCTCAACGTCATCCACAGCTTGTATATTTTCTTTTCACAAAAAAAAAATAGAAGAAGTTATCCACGAGGGCAGTAATGGCATTTAAACACTAACTACGCCAAGCTCGATCAAATTGAATTATCTTGTCTGGATTGAACTCTATTTTAAATTTGGGAAAATACCACCAAAAACCCCAAATTATGCCACTTGTGATAAATTTACCCTGAACTTTTTTTTGTGACACAAAAAACCCAAAATAAGCCACTTGTGACAAATTTACCCTGAACTTTTTTTTGTAATACGAAAAACTCAAAACTATACCACTTATGACACATTTAACCCCAAAATACTTTGGCCCATGGGCATTTTCGTCTTTTTCCTTTTTCTATTTTTTTTTCCTTTTTTTTTTCTTTTTTTCTCCGGCGAGGGTCGCCCTTGCCAGATCCGGCGAGGGCAGCCCTCGCCTGAGTCGATCGAAGTCGCCCGACGCCAGATTTGGCGAGGGCGACCCTCGCTGGCGTCGGGCGAGGCTGCCCTCGCCCGCCCAGGCGAGGGCGACCCTCGCCCTACGCTGGCGAGGGTCGCCTTCGCTAGATCCGGCGAGGGCAGCCCTCGCCCGACGCCGACGAGGGTCGCCCTCGCCGAAGAAGAAAAGAAAAAAAAAACAGAAAAAGGAAAAAGACGAAAATGCATATGGGTCAAAGTATTGTGGGGTAAATATGTCACAAGTGGCATAGTTTGGGGTTTTTCGTATCACAAAAAAAGTTCAGGATAAATTTGTCACAAGTGGTATAATTTGAGATTTTTCGTGTCACAAAAAAAAGTTCAAGGTAAATTTGTCACAAATTGCATAGTTTGGGGTTTTTTGTGGTATTTTCCCATTAAATTTTCATATATTGCAAAATCGTGGGGTTCTCAAGACTTTTATTTAACCCAAAAACGCCAGAGATCTTTCAAAACATCTGGTTATCAACATGTAGATTCTCATCTAATATTATATCAGAAAAATTATTTTTATGATTAAGCAGTTCTTTTTCTTCTTCCACGTGATTATGTTAAAGAATTCGCTGCAAAAAATTAAAATTCATTAGGACTCGGTCATTCTCACGGCACAGATCAGACAATATGCTTTTGATTCTGTGTTGCTTGTCTCTCACTTTGTCCTGAACGGAACATTGCATTTTGATTTGGAATAAACAGCAAGAATGACTCTACGAGGAATCAAATACTACAGGTGTACAGAATCTTACAATACTGAAAAAAAAAATTATACAAGTCAGATTAATGAAGATGTATAACACGGAATGCCCTATTGGAGAAGCAGCATGTGTTAACGGTATGTCAATATGACATTCGATCTGGGAAGCTTTGTCGTTTGTTACTTGGAAGGAATAAAAAGTTTGCAGCAGTATATAATATAAGGTTTATTTCTTAGACTATAGTTTTTAAAAAAAATTTAGCCATGGACGCAATTAGTAAACATCATAACCTAGTATGTCTTAGACTAAACATTGAGTGCACTTTTCGAGGTTTATTTCACTATCATTAGGGCATGTGTGATGTTGGCGAGTGGATCTTTATAGTAACCTGGGAAGTCAATGGTCTACGCATTTGAAAAAACATATGATTACTGCCTAATTATAATACAGACAATTGATGCCAAAAGATAAAATCACCAGAACTGCCCCAGCCTAATCCTGTAGAACATGAAGAAATCCATTGTCCCATCATTTGATTATGAAGAAGAAAAGATAATGCACATTCTTTTGAATCTGTCATTTAGCTATGGCAGTTTGAGCTGCCATTAAGGGCTTCAAGGTTGATGCAATGTGCTTCAGCGCGTGGAGGACCCAATTCGATTGATGGTCAATCGAGCAACAATGCTATAACACAGGCACCTGCTACCACACTTCTTTGAGGAACGAGGGCATGACGGAGTTACCAGTGAGAAACACTAAATAAATGTTCGGAAAAGGTACTGGATAAAGGTATCAAGACTTAGGTTTCCGTTGCGCTCTGCAGGGTCTATCACCCACTCACTGAGAAAGAGTCTAAATATGGTTAAACTCTCATGCAGGACACTATCTAGTCATGGTACTCCCAACACAAAAAGCTCAAACTAAGAACCGCTCATTTGAAATTATATGAATTTCATTGGGAATGGTACACTGGACTACCATGAAACCCAGGAACTCCCGATCTCAGTCTAGTTGAATTTGAGTGTATCAGAGGAAGGTATTATCCCAGGATGCTGAGGAAAGGAAAACACAGTAGTTCATCAATCACAAGATTGATTCCAATTGCTTGATTTCAGGGTCTAGTATCTCTGGTTCCATGTCTCTTGGTATCCTATACGCATCTGCTGCAGCCTTGCCTTTGTCCAACACATCTTGGGGAACAGTCTGGAGGAGACTGTAAATTTAAGAACTACAAGTTTAGACTCAACCACTTCAATGCATACTAACTTAAACAATCAAAATAAACCATCACTAGCCAGAAGAATAACATATTTCCAGAGACAAAAGCCTCTTTGTGTGTGTACAGAAACTAGCAAAAGCATGTGTTTTTAAACAGAAAAGAGATGAAGTGATACCTATCCAGTGCATCAACTGCAATTCCAATCTTGGCTTTCATGGATTTTACCGAGATGTCTGGTTCATTTCTTGATGCACGCAGAAGCAAGGAATCAAGATCTTCCAAGGCTCTACAAGAAAAAAAAATTTAGCTCTCTTAAAATGACACTCGCTTCTGTTTGCAGATAATCATAAAACAATTTTTGGTTGCAGAGGAACCAGTTGATAAGATGAGAGATGCTCAAGAGATGAATAGTAAATACACATTCCCTCCAAACTTGGATTTAACCCATGTATTGCAGTCTCGAGTTTCAACTAAGGCACCAAATGTTTATCCCAAATCAAGAGTTTTCTTTTCAGGGGAATAGAGCATTATCGTTCTCTAGTAATGAAAACTCAGGCAGAACTAAGCCTCTCACACGGTTCAACCCCTGATTTTCCACTCTTAGGATTTAAATATCTTCTCCCAATGAAGCTTTGCCTTAACATATCACCAGCAATAAGCAGTAATGGAAAAAGGAAGTAAAGGGACTAGTACAATTTGTCTTGAGGATAACATGATGCTGTTTTTCTAGAAATATTATTCACTGAAAACAAAATGCAGTTGCATATGCTGGCTTAAGTGCATTGTTTGAAACCCATAAAGGACTTCCTATCCCCAGAATTGTCAGATTCCTATCTTCTTCAATCTATGTCATGAGAGTCATTACAGCAATAAATCTGTCAATGACCTGTTAGAAAATTCAGTCGTCGTCATCTCCTAAATATATCGGATATGATGCTGACATGCAAGCAAAAGGATTCCAAAATAATTTCTAACAGGCAAGGCTAACCACATCCTAGAATAAAGACTAAGTATGAACTCACTGATAAACAGCTTGTGACTTCACCATTATACTAAAAACAGAAGCAACATTACTTTAACTCAACTCGAATTAAGAATATATGTCGCCAAAATTTTACATGTAGTACCTGAGACATTGATCAACATCACTGGAAGCAGCATTACCATTCCCACCGTCTGAAGCATACTGTGCCACCTATAGTTCCGAAGAAAATTTCCAAAGCTCTTAGGAACTCAATGTATGCAAAACTGCCATGAAGCAAATGGAAAATGAGCATGAAAAACAATGCGAACACAACCACCTTTAGTCTGAGATAAATACTCACATAAGTGTTTTGTCAAATTAGATACAAAATGAGAGTCAAAAGAGATGATACTACAACACAAACTAATAAATAGTTAGAAAGCATGAAGAGACAATTCGGATAAGCACTTGGACAATGGACACCAATCAACCAAGGTTTAATTAAACACAACTCTGTAGTCACAAGACCTAGTCTATCCTATTATAAACTCCACTTCATCAGCTCTCTCAGAAGCGTTGTTCAATAGACTGGTTATCTGTCTTAGGCAAATTAAATAAATGAAAAAACAATTGCTTGTACGCATCTTGCCATTGGTCAAAAGATTGATTGATTTGTTGCTGGCAATTAGAAGCAGAGGTTAACCGACTGAGAAAGAAAGCAACAAGTTAGTGCATGCACAGACGAGATCAGCCAAGACCTCAGAAGATCCTCAACTTACTGCTCGAATGTTGATGCGAAGAGATGCTGCTGGGCCAGAGCGTAAAAGTGATCGACATGTAGTAAACTCAGGCTTCTCACCTTCCAGAGTTCTCTCTGCAATATTGGCATTGCTAAGTGAGGACCAATCTATCTAATTTGACTGAATAAGCCTAGTTCTACTATGCAGAGCGAAAGGCAGGTATGGAATGCGTATGGCGAAGAAAACATAAGTAAGGCGTAATCAGGGATGCTCTCACCTACTGATAAAAGGGGAAAAATTAAAGCAAAGGGAAAGGAGATTACCTATATCCTTAATCTGCAGCTGACTTAAAATTACAGCCGGCACATAAGCCTCTAGTGGGTCAAGCCTTTTTCTGCTCATTGTACATTAAGAAAGATCAGTATCAAACTCTATCACCCAATAATAACGCGGCATTGAACGTCCCTCGAGAGTTTACCGACTTACTTCTTTACATATTTATCCATAAAGCTGCCGGCAATAGCATCTGCATTCAAACAAAAGGAAGGAAAACGAAACCGGAATTAACCGTCAATGACGTAACCTTCAACTGCATCCAAAAGGAAGCCTTTTTTCTGCTCATTGTACATTGATCAGCATCAAAATGATAACTTGCACAAGGAACCAATTGTTAAAACTAAGCCCTGAAGAAACGTCTCAACCCCCACCACTTCTTCATGGGATTATCAACTAAAAAACTTGAGATTTTCCCGAAACGATACGCCGAGACACCATAACACTACGAGTCCTGAGTTCATTCGTCGAATTAGGCACCAAAAAATCAACGGAATGCCAGATTTAGCTTAGCCTAACTTCCCCAAATTACGAACCATCCGAGACACTGAGCTCAACAGATAACGATCGATGAACTTCGAAGCGAAACCGCATGGAGCCTGAAGATGAGGAGGGGCGTACGGTCGGGGACGGCGATCAGGTGAGCGAGCAGGAGGGAGAAGGAGAGCGACCGCCTGCTAACCCGCCACTCCGGCGGGGACGACGGCGCGCACCGCGAGCGGGAGAGCTCCTTCCCCGCCGGTCCCGGCGCCGCCGCCGCACGCCGCCGGGGAGGGCGGGGCGACGGTGGCGCGGCGCTAACGTGGGCGAGTGGGTTGATGCTGATCGGCGTCGCCATGGACGCACCGCATTTGAGAGTTCTTCCTTTTGAGCTTTCCGGCGTGGGGAGCGGGTGGTGCGGGAGGGTCGCCTTCTTATCCGTTGGTTTCTGTACGTATAATTTCTTCGTATTTTTTTTCATATAATTTCTTCGTATTTTTTCGAAATTTTAAATGGCCAAAAGTTCTGAATAATTTATTTTTGTTCAAAGTTTTGGTAAAAAAAAAGGTTATAATGTTTTTTTTTTCTAAGCATAATTTTTATCGATTATCTTTTTCTATGTTTCGATTCGGCTTCATATCAGTTAATCATAATTTGTCACTTTGGATTTTAAAAAGTGATTGTCCAATCATCATTACGTACTTTTTCATATATGGAAGGCCTTTTTATTTTTTTGAAGCTACTCTACGCTTTACTGTTGTTTGTATCCGCTTAAATAATTGCAGAATTATCTATTCTTCGAATGTCCCTAATTTCGAAAAATTTGGACTTCTCTTCTTCAACTTTGCAATTAAGCAAAGTTGATGTTAGCAGCTAGGATGTTAGATTTCCATCTTCCACAAAATCCTTGCCTTTCAAGTCTTGTTGTATGACAGATCCAAAAAAAGTTTTGTTGTATGAGTTCGACTTGTTCTATCGACTACCATGCGGAATATAGCAAATCCACTCGCCGGTTGTTATGAGTGTAGATTCAAGACCAATTCTTTTTTTTTATTTTTATATTTGAGACGCAAATGTCAAGAATCTACTATCACAATTGGGACCGGAAGAAGTAAGTTGTGCACAACTTGGACTGGACGGACAAGCTATCACCCTAATACTCGGAGGTGTCATTGTTAATATCGGGTACATGCACGGTTGAACCACGTGTTCATTAAAAACTAGTGAATCTCTTGGAGTTTCAGGACATAGGACACGCATCAACTAAGAACACATACTAGAGATTATATGGGTATTTGTAGAATCTTAATTAATGCCTTACCATAAATTATTTAACTTTATATTTGCTTTTTTGAAAATTAAATCATCACAATCCTCCCATCTTAATGAGAGCCATTAGAGCCAGATTACTTGCTCTACTTAGATGAGGATTTACTTGCCCTACTTAGATGATGAGGATGGATTTCCATTTAGAGCTCATGATAGTGATCGAAGCATTTACTGCATTCAATGTGTGAAAAATGGGTATATAAAGGGTTGGCCATGTGACAACATTCCATATAATTTACTTCTTACTTTCTTCCAAAGAAGATCAGAAGCATGGGGGAAGCGACCAAACACCATTATCCACCTTGTTTTTCTGGGGACGGATGCGATCATGCCGAGTGCTGTTTTGGTACGCCCCAAAAGGATTATGCTCCTTTTGTTTTTCTATTTCTAGTTAACGATAATGTTAATTTTCCATCAACACTTTTCGTATCATGAGCCGCAAGTCATGTAGACCTTTGAGCATAGGAAATTCAGTAGTGTGCATGGATGACGAGGCAAGCAATATAAATTGAATATGACAACACAATCTCATATTGAGGTCAATAAATGATTGATTGCAGATCCAGAGAAACGAGTCCGTGTCCGGTGGCCTGAGTTGGTGGGACAAAATGGAGTGAAGGCGAAGGCGGTGATTGAGAAGGACAATACGTACGTGACGGTCATACTGATGGAAGTGGGAAAAGAATTCGGGCTTACCGATTTTTGCTGTAATCGAGTATATGTTTGGATCGACGAAAAGGGCAATGTCAATCAAACGCCTGTGGTTGGATAAGTGGAGAAACTATGATCCTGAATAAAGTAGCTTATGAAGCTATTTGATACAATAAATAAAACAAATAATCATTTGACGAGATCCTATTCTACATACTGGGTCTGGTTTTGAGAGAGGATTTCACCTTGTACGCTTGATCGATATGTGCGATCTTTCAAAGACCTTAAAATCAAGTTAGTAAAGAGCCCGCCATTTAATATGAGGACCGATATCCAGTTATTTGAGGATGATTATTTGTACGAGGTCTAGATTTACAACAGACATCATGCATCTCATAAAATTAAGCAATTTAGAAGAAGTGAACAAACAATAAAGTTTATCAAATTGCATAGACCATTTATCAAAGGCACAACTTCTTGTTAATTCTTACTGCCGATAATGTGTTTTGAGAGCTCTCGTCTGTGGCCTTTTTCCACGCAACTTTAGCGTCACCTGCCCTCCATTCGGCAGCTTCATCCCGCCACGATACCTCAACTTTGGCGACCAACAGGATTTCTTCTTCTTGTGGACTCTTAACACCGTTCCCTCTCATTGCCTTCGAATCCTTAGTGTGCTGTAGATGCCTCTAAAATCCTCCTACGGTAGCATGAAAACGCCCATCTTGGTGTTTAACAGACTTTTTCCACTTTATTCACATGTCTCGCTTCTCCTATGGAGCATGTCCTGCATTTGCTTCCACATGGAAGTCATGAACAAGAATACTCGAAAACAATGGCAAGAACCGTAACAATTTGGCTTCATTTCTCACTTTTGCTCCGACTGGCATTAAATGAAAGAAAAATTAGGCAAAGAAATAGCAGAGGGGGGAGTGTTCGGTTCATGCGAGCCACGGACACCTCCGCATGCCGAATCAGCGTCGTTTCGAAGTGCTTAGAAAGAATTCTAAGCCTTGATGCCTTTAATCGGAGAAAATTTATTAGTGAAGCTGTAATTCAGGATTGTGTTGGATATCGAGTTGCTGGGTCAATTCTAGAGGTTGTTGAACCATATAATCATGTTGTAAAGAAATTTTAGGGTGCCGTGGAACCATGGAACTTTATAGAAGCCGATTTGGTATTCTGATTGGTCCAAGTGAAATTTTGAAGTTTTTTGTGCACTGTCGGAACCAGATTAAAATGATGGTGTCTGGTGCCAGTTTTCGTTTGTCTTCGATCATATTTTGAGTTGGAGGCAAGTTTGTATTTTAGGTAACTCGAGTTAGCATTTAAATGACTTAGGACCCATTTGACACGTGTGTTCGAAGAGTTCAAATGAACCGTTTTGCATTCAGTGCGCGAGCTGCCGCAATACTGTGGACGACGGTAGCTATTTTCCTTTGGGCAAGCTCTTCGTTGGCACGATGGGGTCATATTAATTGTCCGACCAAAACAAAACCTTAGTTTAATTGGGTTTTAGTTAAGCTAATTTTGTACTTGACTTTGATATTTGTTTCTCACTTAATTGATTGGATTTTGAGTTTTTCCACTCGAAATAGCATTCGTTGTTTGGTTTCTTATTGCCGGGCGAGTAGTGTTTATCTTTTCTATGATTTGGATACTCGTGTCTTGAAAATTATAGGAGTTGGATATGCTGTAAGCTATCAAAGAGGAATCGCACGGCATGATGTTTATCAAAAAAAGAGAAGCGGTGTTTAAAGTTTATTTGCTACATGAAACCGGATCGGGCATTAACTACTCTTTAGATTATTCGGAATGACATGTTAAAGCATCTCTGAAATAACCCTTGAGTTGAATATTTGTGAGATTACATAAGAAATGCTATATAAAGTGAATTTTACTTAAATGAAATGAATTGTGAAAGGCTGTATGTATTGGTTTTTGAACTTGATTCGTAAATGGAGGATGAGTTGGTCATTTTGTGCTCATTAGCGCTATGATGTGAACCCATTGAGGAATTCTATTGTTTAACGCCGAATACCTCGATATGTCCCACCAATGTTTCGGTCGGTTGTATTTAGTCGTCAAGATTAAATGCAGTTCATCTATATTTGATGTATCTCCAAGATTATGATGAGGCGAGACAAAATTAACAACATCAGATCAAATAAAAATGTTCTTGGACAGTATTGATTTGGTAGCTTTTTTCCACCTTCTCATATTGTATTCTTTTTTTGTTTTAACTCTCATTGCAACCTTTTCCGTCTTCCATTTTGAGTCCCAACTTAAACAGATCAAAAAGAGTTGCGAACAATTAAAGACGGAGTAGTAATGTTCATGTTGGGATCCAGAAGAATTGCAAACAATATCTAGGCTAATGTTGATTTTCAGACATGTCTTCTGTATCTGGTCGCTCAGGTTTGAAGATACTGCCGAGTATAGAGGCAATCACGAATCTTCCCCTGACCATGGACAGACCCTCCCCCATACTACGCAAGATCATCGATTCGGATTCCTGGTCCCATTCAATTTTACATTAGCTTAGCTTAAAATCTACTTCCCGGTTCCGTTGTTTATTAAAATCTACTCTCGGTGCTTTTGCTAGGCGCGAACTAATTAATACACTTGATCAACTTAGTAAGTTCCTCTACGTTCTTGTTGACACTTTTTACTCTGATTTCATTGGGTTCATTAGTTTCCTCCATATGATTTGTAGGCAAAGAGTACGACAGATTAAAGAAGTACCTTGAGGCGTCACCTGAAAGATAGAGACCGTACAACGAAGTGATTGAGCTTAAAGGCAACATTTGGCTCTTCTGTGTAGAGGTGGCCACGGGCCGATTTTGGCCCGGAACCGGACCGGAACCGGCCCGGTCAAACCCGGGCCCGCGGTTCGGAACCGGAACCGGCCCGTGGCATACGGTCCCGGTTCCGGTTCCAGAAAAATTTGAACCGGCCCGGAACCGCCGGTTCCGGGCCGGTTCTGCGAAAAAAAAAAAAAAAAAAAAAAAGCTGCAGGTGCAGGCTACAGCACAGCCTGCAGTGCAGGCCATGCTGCAGCGCTGCAGCAGCCTGCAGGCCCGCAGGAGAACGGGCCAACGGCCAAACCAAAAAAAAAATAGATTTATTTGCGGCAGGGCTGCAGAGCGTGCGAGCCCTCGCGCGCCGCAAGCACCTTGCGGTGCGGCGTGCGGCCCGTTGGGGCAACGGCTACGCCCCAACGGGCATTTTTATAATTAAAAAAAAAAACACACATAACCGTTGCAATTTTGCAACGGTTATGTTTTATTTTTTTTAATTCTAAATTTTCTTCTATTTTTTTCCTATAAATTCTCTCAAATTCTCACAATACACACACAATTCTCTCAAATTCTCTTCTCTCAAGTCTCAAATTTTCTCAATACTCGAAATTCTCTCAAATTCTCTGAAATTCTCTCAA